ATTTAGCATCGTTAATGGCTAGACCCCAAGCGGCGACCATATCTAAGAAAGTGGTGGTATCGTTAAATTAACCGGTCATCCGAATTGAAAATGATGGTGTCATCAAGGTAGACGGAATAATTTGCTTTTATCACCAATATTGCGTACAATTCTAGAACTACATTTTGCAACGCATAAGGGGAGAAGCTGGTCTCCATCTGGAGCGTTTTATATTGATATTTTGAGCTTTACATGGCGAACCCAAAATGCTTCTTCCTACTTTGTGCCAAAGGGATTGAGAAAAACGCCTATTTGAGGTCGATCTTAGTCCCTTTGGATGCCTTGTCTTTCTCTCTCATGCCGAGTGAAAACTTCTGGCGCCTATATTTGTTAGGATCAGGTAAGAAGTTACTTTAAATTTTATTCATATTTAAATAGCCAATGCGAGTAGTTCGGCACGTATTAAAATTATTAAATTTTTGTTAAGCATCAATTTAAAATTTTTATAAATCAAATAAAGAAAGTGAAAATTATAGTATTTAAGTAATTTATACCTAATTTTTGAAGTATCTTACAAATAATTTACAAGATAATATTTTGCAAAAGAGTCATTAAACCCAGGGAGGGTAAGAAGATATATGAGGAAAAAAAAATAACCATTTGATTAAACGACAACTTCGAGCCGATAAAATATATTTTTTTCAATTAACCTAAAATATTGAGTAAATTTTTTTTCCTCACTCCACAATCTATGTTACCTTGTGATTATTCATGTCTGTACCTGTTTGTAGTGTTTTTAAAAAACCCGACTTGGGTTGATTTTTCAAAATGGCCCCATTAATATCTTAGTTAAAATAATATCACGTAAGCATCGCGATTTGGTAAATAGATGTCCAAGCAATTCTGCTAGCTATATGCAAATATTTAGGCTTATCTTATGTTATTTTTGGTTAAAATTTTGATTGGAATTAGAGCCGATTCGGGCCCTTTTAACAACACTACCTGTTCGAATAGCTACGAAAAAATTATTATAACTATTATAATAATAAAAGGATTTTACTTTTGGCATTAGCTTATTGTTTTTATCCCCAAAAATATGATTCTAGATTTTATTATTTTTTAAATTCGAAAAATTCCATGAGTTGATAGACAGTAGACATCTGCAAAAGTAGGCCCGGTCCGGCCCGAATGGGCTTCAGGTCAGGGCTGTCCGGGCTTTTTTAAAAATGAAATTGGCTTCGGGCTGGTTGGGCCTAACAGGCTTTGGAAATTTTTTTTAATATATCTAAATTTATCAATTTTTATGCTGAATTTTTTTAATGTAAAATAAAAATATTTTATTTTATTTATAGAAACTAGTCGGCATATAACATATGTCTTTTATTTTGAATAATTTTTAAAAATTAATTTTTTATAATTTAAATAAATTCGGGTCGGGCCGGTAAAATTTCTTAAAAAAAATTCCGGGCATGGCTCGAAATATTAGGCCCTATGAAAATCACGAATAGACGGCACTATAACAGGCCTTGACCAAAATTCTTTCATTATAACCTAGGTCAAATAACTTTTCAGTATTGGGTTATGTCCGACGGGTAATCGCAAAAAATTTAAGATATGTAGTGTGGTATACACAATGTATTTTAGTTCTGCCATCAACTTAGAGACGACACACTCTTGCGTTTAAAAAAAAATTTTTTTTTGAAATAATTTATATTTTATTTATATTGTGTTATTCTATAATCAGTATATCACAATGATATTTTAAAATATATTTTATTTTGATACAAAATAAGTATTATATATTATGTAATTTTATAAATAGAATTATATCCTGTTTTTTTTTAAAAATTACTATCATATTTTTTATTATTAGTTTTATTATTAGTTTTATTATTTATTATATATAAAAAGTATTATAATGTTAATTTATAAATAGATAAATTATGTGTTTTTTTATTATTTTATTATTTTATTAATTGTATTTATATTTTATATTATAAATATCTTTTTACTAATTTTGTTAAAATTTATCGGTGTTTTCAAAAAAATGATAATTTTTTTTTTCTAATTTTTTTATCAAGTCATTTTTTGATCATAAAACTCAGGGATTCGAATCAAACCCGAACTCGAAGAAGAAAACCCGGGTTTTTTGGGAAAATATCTGAACCTGAACCGAATCTGAACCCCGTTTATAAAATTTTCAAAACCCCGAACCGAACCCGAAAATTTTATTCGAACCCGTGTTCAACCGGGTTCAGTGTATTGTTTAAAATCATATATTAAGATATTTGTATAATTTCAAATATAAATATTAATAATTCGACTGAGATTTTAGAAATATTTTCAAATTCCAATTAAGTGAAGCGTTAATAAATTTTGAAACAACTTAATTCATTTACACCATTTTTAAAAATTTTTTAAATTTATTCTCAAAGATTGCTATTGGAGTTGTTTATAAATTTTACGCAATCGAATTCATTTACGCCATTTATTTTTAATTTATAACTAATTCTCAAAGATTAGTAATAAGAAGGAAATAAAAGTGAACAAGTCTAACAGAGTTGTTAAAGGATCTAGATACAAGTTAGATCCTGTATCTAGATATAAAAATGTGTATCTAGAAAGATTTTTGATTAAAATATCGGTATCTAGATATTATTTTAGACGATGTATCTGTATCTAGATCCATTTAAAAAGTATCTTTTAACAACTCTGAAGTCTAAGTATAAATTATTATATTGTTAATTTAAGGATATACGTTCTTAATAAAATTTTTAAATAAAATTGATACACGACTGCTTTGTATTTTTAATTATATTTTGCCTATAAATAAAATAAAAAATTAATTTTTTATAACAAATTTATGTCCAATTTTTTAATTATGATTTAAATATAAATTTTTTTTTTATCACATCAAAAGTTTTTAAACCCGAGCTGAACCCGAAAATTCGGGTTCAAAATATTTCCCTGAACCGAACCGAACCTAAAACCGAACCGAACTTGGGCTAAAATTTGCTGGGTTCGCACCCCTGATAAAGGTAAAATATAAGAAGGCAATTTTAAGAGTTACATTATTGTAAATTGTTGGCGATATTTTAATCAAAGGTAATATAAGTGCTATTTCAGTGTGAAAATTTTAAAATCTTTTTTTTTCAATGACCTATTATATTATGCACATTATTAAAGATTGAGTATAGTTTTTATTTGAAAACCAAAACATCCCGAATTTTTAAACGCTGGAGCGGTCCAATGACTAACTTTTAATGTAATACTGAGTCTTTATTTTTATATATTAGCTAGGATAAGAAAATGGAGATTATCCCAATTCGCCTTTATAATTATAAGAATTTTATATAATCATTTATGTTACAAAATTGTCCTGGAAAATATAGATGTGTTATTTTAAAAAATTAATGAACAATAATATTGAAAAAAAAAATATCGTGTTGCATAATATAGTATAGGCTGTGCGAAAATATTTTTTTCTGGATAATATAGAATAGAAAATTTAAAGCGATGGCTGCCGGAAATATTATCGAATAAATACCGACTTGAAAAAATATATGCTATTTTATATAATTTATAATGAAAAATGCCTTATTTTTTTTAAAAATATTTATTATATAAGAATTCCATTACACTAGACAATATGCCATATAGTATTGTTTAAGAGCTCGATTTGAGACGATTTTTAAAAACGGTTAACTCAATATTTTAGCCAGAAAAATATTATCTAAGCCTCGAGATTTGGTTAATAGATGTTCAACCCTTTGTGCCACCTGTGAGAAAAATGCTGGGGCTTGTATAATATTTTTACTAATAAATTAAGAGTCGTTTTTCTCTGAGCCGTTTAACAACACTGATGCCATATTGATGAAAAATATAAAATTTGGTAGAATGATTTTGTAAAAGTAAAGGTAGCTATTATAACAGTGGCTTGCATTTGTATATAGTTAAAAAAAAATTTTTTTTTAAACTGAAACTAGATTAGTGGATCTTAGTAAAGACTGGATATAGATTGGGATTAAATAAAATCACTAGGTTTACTGTAATATTAATTAATAATAATATTTATATTTATCTCAGTGTTATGTTACCCAATCCCAAGTATAATAGGCTAAATGGATGTGGGATGGGTTAGAGTAAAGAGCTTTATATAAATTTACAAATTAGCTATATTTCCCTAAAATTAGGTTTGGACTAAGATTAGCATATATATGAGATGAACACCAGTCAGCATTACTAATGTACATGGCTCCCTCATAGCTTTGATATAAGTCTTCAATATCAGATTTATTTTATTTAAATTTTGTTTTGGCTAATGTAAGTGGCCCCTATCCCTGGGGTAGTGGGAATACAAGATCGACATTGAAATTGGCTTTAGATATATGACATAGATTGATTCATTTTACAAAAAAAAAAGTTCCAGATGTTTTTTTTCTAGTTAGCCTATCAGGATTTGGACATTCTTTTTTAAACATTATATTCATTTATATTTTGGGAAAACCAGCCCTAGCCTTAAAAAAATTGAAAAAATAGTATAGATAGAAAACTCTAACTTATTTTTTACAAGATTATTTTTAACTCAGACACTAAATAAAATTCTATATAAATTTAGATAAAAAGCTCCCCAACTTATTTGTACAATATTATTTATAGCCCAAATGCTAAATATAATACTATAAAAATTTACTATTAAAATTTAAAAAAAAGGTCTAAATTTGTATCCAACGCACGCTAAATATTACTATATATAAATTTATTAATAAATTTATGAAATAGAAAAATAGGAACTAGATACGAAAATAACTCATAAATATCTACAAAAATAATTATTAAGATAAGAGAAGGCTAAGTATAAACAAGTTAGATCCTTGCAAGAAATTGAGTTATAAAAATAGATCTAAAAATAATTTTAAAATTCTTTTTAAAAATTTAAAAAAAAAAAAAATTATAATATAAAAACTTTGAAATTATTGTATAATTTATCAGAAAACTATTTTTATTAAATTAAAATTAAAAAAAATAAATATTTTTTACCTTACTATTTATTAATAAAATAATAAAACTTAATTATGCTATCTAAATATTTCTTGCTAATTACTATAACTGTTCTTATCCAAGGACATTTTGGACAGAGTAAATTTATATAAATATTATATTAATTGTATAAACCAAAAATAGGATGTACATACATCATATATTAATCATTTGTCCGGATAGTAGCTTAAAAATTTCAAATATATTACTTGCCCACATATTTGTCTTTCTTCGAAACATTAGGATTTCTAAATTTTTGAACAAAATAGATGTCAATATATGATTCTAAAGATTTGCATGTATGGTATACTAGAGTGGCTTGTGCATGAGTAGGAATGATTGATAAATAATTGTTTTATATTAATATATTAAGAAAAAAATAATAATAACAATAAACTCGGTTTAATTAACCAAGAAGTGTTTATTTGATAGATAAATAACGATAAGTTTTAATAATGACATAAGATAAAGGGAATCAAAATCATAATATTCTTGAGAAAAAAACAGTGAAGGAATTCCCCCACACCTCTCTTCAGAAATTTTCCTGTTCTGGTAAATATTATTTTAAGGTAATAAAAAAAATTTCCCCTCTACATCTCCACCCCCCTTTCTCTCAATCCCAAAAATGCATGCGATGTATCAATTTAAACAAGAATTAAAAGAAAAAAAAAATAAGTCAAAAGTTAATAAATTTTTTTTAAAATACAACGACAATATTTTAAAATTTTATATTTAAAATATAGTGAAAACGTAAAACTATAGCCAAAGGCTTACAATAAGTGAACCTAAAGATCTCTATAATTTAATTAAGAAAAATTCCATCTAATAGTGCCAGCCTTCCCTTCTCTCTGCTCCTTAGCAAAATATTGGCTACAACAATAAATATAGGTATTTAAAGGCTCGATTAAGGAACTATTGGTACGAATATTGGAAAATACACTTAGTTATTTTTTTCTAATTTGTTTTAACAGTAAATCATTTGTTGGAACATTTCGAATATATAATAATGAGATTTAATGTCATTTGTAATACTAAGCTAAGAAAGGGATATTTTTTCTAAAATTCTATTTTTATCAAATCTTTTTTAACAACAATACGAGTAAAAGACTGGGTAGAATTAAGAGATTGCCTGTGACATTTCTAAAGCATTATTTTTTAGAAAGTTGTGACATATTTTATCATTACTTGGAAGAAGGTGAATGAGCACAATTTATAAGACTTGTTAGTCGTAGGAATAGAAGGAAGAGAACCAAAAAAACTTAATGAAGTTTTTAATAGAAATGCAAAATCGGATGTGACACGCTCACAATTAAGATATATTACCTTTAGGAAAATTGCAATATTGAATATATGTTTTAGTTATGTGGGAATGCAGCCAGCTGTGATTTATGATGTTGGTAGATATGCCATTAGATGTAAATTATTTGAGCTTTTTAAATGAAAAAAAATGGATTCAAGTGGGATAGATAACGAACAATCGTAAAATAATTGAACCAAGATTTTTAAGTTTTAAGACAACTTATGAACAAATCAATTCGTTTTTAAAGCTTTTTCTAAAGAAAAGGGAAGGTAGGTTAATGAATTAGTAGAAGAAACGTCCATGTCCAAATAAGGTTATAAAATATGAACGTAAAGGTTTGACTATATTAATCACTGCAAATAGATGGCATGCAAGCAACTATTTAGGAATTTTTTTTGTTTATTCACACATATTACCCACCTCTGCTCTGATTATTTGGTTCCCATCGTAGATATAAAAGCTACATATAAGTTACAGAAATGAGCGTTTAGATTTTATGTTTATGGCTATGGCATTTTTTTCCAGAAATTATAGCAATCAATAGCAGATAGTATGCCTCATCAATAAAGTGATTCATTGGACTTATTGATGGGGTTTCTGATAGCTATTTTATTCAAGAAAATTTGTAATTGCAAAGAAATATGCTTAACCAACATTTCCAAAAATTACAAAAGCAACATTGAGTGACATCCCAATAACTCCTGGTTAATTTGTTGCCGATATTTCCCCCTATTTTTTTATATAATCCTTTATTTATTAAAAATATAACATAATAAAATATATGCACTTTAAAATAATGTATTCTACACAACCATCAATTAGCACAAAAATTTTCACATTCATTGTAATCCCTTAATTATCTTTAATCTCACTAAAATAAAAAAAATAAGCATATAATTTTTTTTTGTTTTGAGTACCCTTGGGTCTATTTTATAAATTTAACAGAGTGGCTTATTTGTTAGCATCATTAAGAAAGGCTTCCTTTATCCCTCATACAATAGCTCATTATTTAGAGACATCGTATATCTATTAATGGTCAGACTTATTTTGCCCGATGAAAATGGCAAATTTATTTATAATATTATTTTTATATTCTAATTATGAAATCCCAAAAATATCTGCCTCAAAAAAAATATCCTAAAAGAAAATATGAACCATGGTACATTCGAAATGTTTGACCCATTATTACAAAATTAGGATGATTTGTACAAGAAAAATTAAAATTAAAATACGATATAAAATTTGAATAATGATGTCCAAACCTTTGTGCCAGCTATTACCAAAATTTCGTAATATTTTCCGAGATCAAAACGAGCAATTTAAGAACACTACTTCTCTGGTTAAAAAAAATACAATCACTCTATTTAATCAAAATCTTATATGATGTAACTACAAAGCTGCGGTATTAATTGTATTAATAATAAATATATTTACTGGAAATGGGAGGTCTTAATATATGTGAAATTTTAAACGCCTGAAATTGACAAAAAAAACTCAGCACACAAAAAACAAAAAAATTTTCCAATTTTTTTTATTACGTTATAGAACCTTCTTGTAATTCCAATGACCCGTTTCCTTGTGGTTTCTCAAACCTATGCAATAGTCCTGAAAATAATAAATTCATAATACTTGGATATTTATCTAATATATATATCTCAATTCAATTTTGTATATCTATTTATCATTTAAAAAAAAAATAATAATATTATTTTCATATATTGTTAAAATTGAATATTCATTTTTAAAAATAATTTAGTACATAATTCTGGACCAAGAGGTAAATTTATGATGACAATTACAATTAAATTTACATGATTTCCATTTATTAAAGTTTATGTTAATTATTTTTTAGTTAAATGTTGGGAAGCATCTATAATATTACCCGCAATGCATAATTTTTTCCTGCATTCTTTAAGGTTCTAGATGCATTGTGCCATAAATAATTTTGATATGTTTTCAAATAAGATCCTCCAAAACTGGCAATTAGATTCGTTGGTTTTCAAATTATTGGATTGAATATTTAAGCTTAGCAGTGTCTTTGCACTTTTAAATAATTTCTCATCTTGTTAGGCGCTATCCTATTTTATATTAAAACTCCTAGCACTGCTAAAAGTCCATGTAAATGCAAGACAAGATATGTATGATCGTTCCATATTTATTATACACCATAATTCTAAATCATGTTTATCATAGGGTATGGAAATTTTTTCAGTAGCAAATTTTTTTTTTATATTTTGTCATCTTTCCCTTTGATCTTTAATAATTATACGCAAGATTCCATAGTTATTTTTTTATTTGTTTTTTAATAAGCGTTTGATAAAAAAAAAGAGATTATAAATGTACTAACATCCAATAAAAATTTTTGAAATACCTCCCATCCCCATGGCCAACCTTTAAAGCTAACTAAGTTAAATTGTAAAGTTGCAACTCAATAATAAGTTAAGTTATTTAAATATCTATATTATTATTTCTATGATACAAAAATAAATATCTTTTTATGAATATAAGTGATAAATCAAATAGGTGAATTAATTAAAAAATTAATATTGCCATTCCACCCCACCCACCCCTCTTTTCACGTTTATGGGTTCAACAAATGAAACTTGTTTTGAATATTTGCTCAGGCATAATAGCTGAGATGATTAATTCATTTATATTTTTCCATTTTAATATAAACCAATAAATCTTTGTTAATTGCAGATTATGCGGGGGCAATACCAAATCAACCTTATGGATTTCAATGGACTAATGCACCAATAGGTTTTTTTTTTAATAAATAACTTTCTTAATTATTTTAATACAGTTATTTATATATGATGCATTTATTGAAATATCGAATACTTTCTAATTATAAAGTTTTGTTTAAATAATAAAAGTCAAACGTCCTAGCAGCGATTTTTTGATCTGAAGGCGTCCCCGAGATACTAAATCTTGACGGGATCCCATGTTTAAACTTTTTTTGTTTCATAATTTTTGTAATAGAAAAATTTAACTTTATATAGAAGTCATATTTTCAAAATATATTATGATCCATTTCATATTCCAGTGCCTAAGCCTTCTATAATCCAGGAATTCGAGTTGATGATCGCTTGTATTAAATTGCTTAAGAAGATATTTTTAAGTTAAACATGTAATTGGCCAATTTTTATAAATTTCGTTCTCAACTATTTTTAAACCCATCCGAAAAGTTGAGCTGATACATTCTTATAAGATTGAATAAATTTATGATTATTTCGCAAAAAAACATATAAGGCGAATTTTTAATATTTATATTTAATATAATATCTATGATTTTTTTTAAAAAAAGGAAAATTTTTTTTTAGTAAAAAAATTATAATGTTCCTAAAAAGGAACAATATTTAAATTCAAGATCTATTTTTTTTACAAAATTTATGAAAAGGATTGTTCAGTTTTCCCCATTTTTTAAATAGAGAAAAGGATGTCTTAAAGTGAGATTAAGGAATTCGCATTGGGCAACTTATCCCTTCCATTTTAAATAGGCTTTTTAAAATTCTTCATATGTTAATGGGAAGTCTTTCAACTATCCTTTTTTTCTATCTTTCCAGTTCCAAATTTTTTTTCGATAAAGTGCTTGTATATATATTAATTTATATTTGTTATATTAAAAAACTTACAAGTCATTTTAAAAAAAAACTTATTTTAGTATATAGTTATTATTATGGAGGTACATATACTATAATAATTGCATTATATTACATGCTTATTCTAAGCCAATATTGAATTAAAGTTTATATTATTATATAAATTATAAATTGCTAAAATTTCATGATATAATTGTTTAAATTTTGTAGAGTAGTATTCTAAATACCTGTCTACCGAAAAAACGGGCCTAGAAAATTATTATTCTTTCTATTTTCTAACTTTAAATAATTATTTAGTGCATTTTACAAAATCTGTTTCCGAAATATATTCTATAATTTTTTTGAAATTTTATTTATTTTTATTCAATATATAGTTTTCTCACATCAAAAATAAAATAAAATAAAAATATTATATAAAAACCGTGGTGGGACTACAAGTTCCCAAAAAACATGCGTAATTATATTTTAAAATTATGATTTGTAGGTTTTGTTTTAAGAAATAAAAGTTCTGATGTAAGGGCTCTTATCTTATCCCCTATATTTTTTAAAAACTTTAAAGTTCCACTTGGCATATGTCCAAGGGAAGAGATAACAATCGGTGTAAAAATATAATTTGTCAATTTGGAATATTTCATTGTTTTTTTTTCTCGGCTATATCAACCGGATTAGAATTTAAATTTTTTGGGAAAGAAGATACGCATGTGAAGTCCCAAATTAAGGATTTCCCTAAAGACCAAGGCACGGAAGTTAAGCCATCAGGTCTTAAGCCATCATCTATCGATAAATTTGTAGGCTCCAGGATGTTTGGTATTCGGGCCCTGGTAAGAGAACGGCTAATAGCTAAATTAATTGCTGCATGCCTTGCATGCCTGCCTTGACTATATATACAATTTAGACCATGTCTCCCTTTGGAGTCAACTAAGGTTTTACATTTGATGCATGTATGTGGTTGAACAATGTTACATCCAAGTCGATGGCCTATGGCAACTCTTAATTGTTCATCTGATAAGAGGTTACCTAGGTTACGACTTGGTAATGCTTCCAACCATTCATAACCACTAGTACAGTCAGCATTCTGTAATAGTTGAATATACTCCAAAGGGGGTTTGATGAGATTATTTTAAAAAATTTTTTAATTAAAGGTTCGAAAATAGATTGGTGTGTTAAGATCGTGGGTAAGATAGCTTCAGGTGGAGCTAAAGATACCCAGGCTGTCAAGGCTGAGTTTAAAAGGTTATCTTTAGGAGAGATAAAAGAAGATATCATGGCGTTATTCATCAAACGCGATGCCAAAAATGAGGAAAGAGATAGGTTTAAAGGATATAAATCTAAACCACCTATTTTCGAGGGTTATTGTGAGAAACCCCAATTAAAATCTTCCAATTTAATATTTAAAATATTTTCTAATAAGCTTCTAAAAAATTCATGAACACGATTAATAATTTCATTATTTAAAAAAAAGGAAGAAGATCTAAAAATATGTACAATCTTTGGTAAAAATAAATATTTTTTTAAAAGAAAAAAGCTCTGGTGTGAAGGAATTTCGTTTAAAATAGTTTCAAGACCTGATAAGCCTTCGAAAAATTTTTCCATGAACACCTTACAGTTGGAAAAACTGCTTAAAGGTGAACTTAGAAGATTAATTTCACTTTTTTTGATGATTTTAAACCCTTGGACTTTGAGAGTATTTGAATTTAAAAAGCATATTTCCGATTTAGCTTCATTTAGAGTAAGGCCTATGTTTAGAGAATTCTTCTCTATATAATCTATCGCTGCAAGAATATTTTTAGAAGGTCCGCAAATGGTACCATCATCTAGATACCATATGTTTAAATCTAAATTAAAAAAGGATTTTAGACAATGAACTAGGTTATGTATACCTAAACTAAAGATCAGAGGGCCCAAAGGGTCTCCTTGTTGAATACCTTCGTCAGAAGGAATTGTATATTCCCCGAATTTGAGAGGGGTTCTACAGCCATAAGACTGTTCAATAAATCTTGCATAAACTGGGAATTTTCATAAAAAATGTTCAAAAATGTTTTTCTGGATAAAGAATTAAAAGCATTTTTAAAATCAAGCTTACAGACTACGGCGTCTGGAGGAGGATCTTCGATATATATGCGAAGAGAGTGAGCGGCTATTTCGCATCCCCCTTTGGTACCAAAGCTTAGTTGATATGTTTGGAACATTTTTGAAGCATCAGGTTTGATGCGCTCAACGATTATCTTAGCTAAAAGTCTCCTAAAAAAAGACCCTATTGCAATTGGCCGAACTCCACCATCAGGCTTAGAAAATGCAATTAATCTTGCGCCAAAAATAATTTGGTGAATTTGACTAGGTAAATCATTGTTCAATATATTTTCACTAAGTATTATCATTGAATTTACAAATGAATCTTGATAAGGATTTTTAGGGTTAATTAAAAATTGGAAATAAGAGGGGCGAAAACCGTCAATTCCCCCTGCAGAGTTTTTATTAAAAGATAAAACTGTTTTAATTAATTCTTCCTTACCTATTTCGATTAAATTAGATTTTATAGGGATGGGAAGATCTTCAGGAAAAGCCTGAGGGTGCAATTCTTTTAATAAAGTAAAAGTATGTTCATCAAATGGAGCCAATTTATCATTAGATGAAGCTAATTTAAGAGCTCCACATACGTCCCCTTGGTCTATTTTTTTGATATAATTTTACATTTATGGGCAAAATCAGATGTAGCCCTTACATCAGGAACGTAATTTTCCATTTCTAAGTCATAAAAATGGTCTATTTTATATTTTATATATCTTTCATGCAAAATAGTTTTTTTATTTTTATCTGTAGGTTTAATTAAGACTTTAAAAGGAAAGGTTAAAAGATTCTCCCAAGCTTTAAGGGAATTTAAATTTGAATTAACTTCCATAATAAGTGTTGTTAAAAAATTAGAAATTAAAGACCTTGATTTAAGGGGTAGGTGGATTAAGGTTGGTGGTTTTTCCCACTTTAAAAAATTATCATAAAAATCAGGATAAAAATTTTGAATTACAATGGGGGTTGATTCAATTTTGTTGTACAAAATTTCATTTGAAGGGGGTTTACCAGAGTTTATACATGGTTTTGACCTGGGCCCATGTTTATAAAAACAAATAGCTTGGGTCAAGGTTATATTTCTATGGCAGGCATTACAAATGCTTGACATACCCATTTTAGAAGAATAAAAATAAAAAAAAGGAGAAGAGGGTAGGGGGTATGTATGAATGAATAACTTTTCAAAAATATTATTTTTTAAAAAAAAATTAAAAAAAAATAAAATAAATAAATAAAAGTTATAAAATTAAATTGAAAATTTAAATTTTGTTGTATTAAGAATAATTGAGTAATGTTTAAATAAAAATTTATATTTTAAAAAATATAATACAAACTAACTTAAAATCTATATTTTTGAAAAATATATATAAAAATTTGAGGTTTAGATGATTGTGGAATTTTGGAATGTTTAAAAATATTTTTAAAATCAAGTAGATAAATTAACTTAAAACTATATATGATTGAGATAAGTATTTTCATCATTGATTGAATCAAAGACATCTTGGTGGTATGTTAGTGTTGAGCAAGCCACAATGTTCTTGTATTAATGATTGTTGTGCAGGAATATCATTGATTGAATCAAAGAAATCTTGGTGGTAAGTTGAAGCCACAATAAAGTTCTTGTATTATGATTGTTGTGCAGCAATATCTATTTAAAACTTTATTTGATTGAGATAGGTAATTTCATTGTTGATTGAATCAAAGAAATCTTGGTGGTAAGTTACTGTTGAGCAAGTCACTATAATGTTATAATATTAATGATTGTTGTGCAGAGATATATAAAATGGCGTGTAAGGGTTAGGTTATTATGTTTAAAGTCAAAGGGATTGCCAGATATTGGGAAGGATTAAAATACTAAAATACCAATGTCATTTAACAAGGTAGGAAGGAATTTTGGTTGAGATATGCTGATTGTTGTGTTAAAATTTCAGGTCAGAATATAAGAATCAAAATTTTGAGTAATTGGTTATATTTTAAAATTATGTAGGTATGATAATAAATGAATGATTCATGTTGTTAATATAATTGTTTTGATTTCATATATAGCTATAGGAAGGATCCTAAAAATATTGGTTATTGCTAGTTTGGGAGAGAATGATCCAAGGACTGATTTTATTATTGCAGCTTGGTACGGTGTAACTAAACTGAGAATTGACAGGTAAACTGAGAATTGACAGGTAAAATTTATTTTTGTTTTATTGCCTATCAATTATTTTTAAATATATAAATAAAATGTTTTTAAAGTAAAAATCAAATCTATCCAAAATTAAAATTATTAAAATTATTTAAATATATAAATTAGAATATAGAAGATATTGCAGTCCATAAATTTATAATATGTATAGAACAGATCTATTATATAGAAAATATAACACAAATAATATATTTTGTATATCATAATTGACTAAACTGAGAATCCACATCATAACTCCAAAAATAATGATGGAAACTTAAAATTTTTTTCATTATATATAAATATAAGTTAGTTTACACCAAATGAGTCAAAAAAATAAAATATTTTTAAAATCCCAAAAGTCTAAAAAAAAATTAAAAAATTGACTAAACTGAGAATCCACATCATAACTCCAAAAATAATGATGGAAACTTAAAATTTTTTCATTTTATGTTAATATAAGTTAGTTTACACCAAATGAGTCAAAAAAAATAAAATATTTTTAAAATCCCAAAAATCTAAAAAAAAATTAAAAAATTGACTAAACTGAGAATCCACATCATAACTCCAAAAATAATGATGGAAACTTAAAAATTTTTTCATTTTATGTTAATATAAGTTAGTTTACACCAAATGAGTCAAAAAAAAATAAAATATTTTTAAAATCCCAAAAATCTAAAAAAAAATTAAAAAATTGACTAAACTGAGAATCCACATCATAACTCCAAAAATAATGATGGAAACTTAAAAATTTTTTCATTATATATTAATATAAGTTAATTTACACCAAATGAGTCAAAAAAATAAAATATTTTTAAAATCCCAAAAGTCTAAAAAAAATTAAAAAATTGACTAAACTGAGAATCCACATCATAACTCCAAAAATAATGATGGAAACTTAAAAATTTTTTCATTTTATGTTAATATAAGTTAGTTTACACCAAATGAGTCAAAAAAAATAAAATATTTTTAAAATCCCAAAAATCTAAAAAAAAATTAAAAAATTGACTAAACTGAGAATCCACATCATAACTCCAAAAATAATGATGGAAACTTAAAAATTTTTTCATTTTATGTTATTATAAGTTAGTTTACACCAAATGAGTCAAAAAAAATAAAATATTTTTAAAATCCCAAAAGTCTAAAAAAAATTAAAAAATTGACTAAACTGAGAATCCACACATAACTCCAAAAATAATGATGGAAACTTAAAATTTTTTTCATTTTATGTTAATATAAGTTAGTTTACACCAAATGAGTCAAAAAAAATAAAATATTTTTAAAATCCCAAAAATCTAAAAAAAAATTAAAAAATTGACTAAACTGAGAATCCACATCATAACTCCAAAAATAATGATGGAAACTTAAAAATTTTTTCATTTTATGTTAATATAAGTTAGTTTACACCAAATGAGTCAAAAAAAATAAAATATTTTTAAAATCCCAAAAATCTAAATAAAAATTAAAAAATTGACTAAACTGAGAATCCACATCATAACTCCAAAAATAATGATGGAAACTTAAAAATTTTTTCATTTTATGTTATTATAAGTTAGTTTACACCAAATGAGTCAAAAAAAATAAAATATTTTTAAAATCCCAAAAATCTAGAAAAAATTAAAAAATTGACTAAACTGAGAATCCACATCATAACTCCAAAAATAATGTGATGGAAACTTAAAAATTTTTTCATTTTATATTAATATAAGTTAGTTTACACCAAATGAGTCAAAAAAATAAAATATTTTTAAAATCCCAAAAATCTAAAAAAAATTAAAAAATTGACTAAACTGAGAATCCACATCATAACTCCAAAAATAATGATGGGATCTTAAAAATTTTTTCATTTTATGTTTATATAAGTCGGTACCAAATTAATTAATCCAGAGCGAAGAATTATGCTCCTATAATTCATATTATTTTTAATTAAAAACTAAAATTTTAATAATTTACGCCATCTAGCGGAATTTATTTTATGATATATAAAATATTATGGGTGTTTTATTTTCTATATAATAGATCTGTTATACATATTATAATTTTCTAAACTACAATATCTTTTCTATTCTAATTTATATATTTAAATAATTTTAATTTTGGATAAATTAAATTTTTATAATAAAAACCTTTATTTTTTAAGTTTTTAAAATATAATTGATAGGCCATAAATAAATTTTACCTGTTAATTCTCAGTTTAGTTACACCCGCTTGGTATGAATATTATCAAGGACTGATGAATAAAATTTTTAATTAATAGGAATTTTATCACTTATAATATATATTTCATTTTAATGAGATATAACACATATTGCCTAGTGCATAAATATTCTATAGGATTTAAGTGTTGAAATGCATATTTATGGCTAAGTCTAAACTTATATTTACAAAAAAAATTAATAGGAAATTACCATAACTAACGAATGCTATAATATTATTTACTTTGTAAAAATAGTAATAATTTAGACATCTTGAGAAACATCCTGAAAATTATAAATAAATACTACAAAAGTTCAAAGATGTCTTTACTTTCTAGATGAGAAAGAGTGAAATTTAAATTGATTGGAGTTAGTTTATATTGTTTAGTTAAATACATTATTTATTGCTTCTGACTGCTTATCATAAGAAGGGAAGGAAAATGAATCAAAATCAGTCGTAGGAATCTCTTAATTAGGGTTTCTAATAGGCTTTTCCTTTTTAAGGTATAAATTATATTTAATGGATTCTAATTTTATTACTTTCTCCTTTTTTAAAATTCTATCGCATGATTTTGAGTTAATTTTCATAAGGAGAGTTCTTGTCCTTTTTAATCCAAACTAGAAAGAAAGAAAGAAAGAAAGAAAGAAGCAATATGATTAGAACTCTCTCAAATTCCAGCTGTTTTCTCTATACCTTCTTTGGCTTTCTACTCTGTTAGATTGCCAATTATTTGGTATATATATATATATCTCTATTTTGTTATTGTCCAATTAATTTTATTGTTATTATAGATTCTGGTAATACTGAATGTGATAAATTATTTCTACAGTATCGAAGATCTATACTATATTTGCTGCAAAGTGATAGGCTGTGCAACAAAACCTTTTTCAAATTTTAAAATTATTTCCTTGCCGGTTCAATATTTGCATTTTAAATTGGACTATATTAATTTAAGCTTTGATTGATTTGGAAAAATGCTAGTGGAACATAGGATAATATTGAATTATGAGATTTTAATGTTTGAATTCTTGTTGAAATCGATTAAAAAAAATAAACCAATATTTTAAAAAAATTTTGCTAAATTATTACCTTCTACAAAATTTGATTTTACATAATTATTCATATAATATTAATATGATGGCATATGTCATCAAACGAGACTTACTCTAAATCTTAGAACTCACTATCTAAAAAAATTTTATTTATGCCAAATTTTAACACAATTTGATTTATTATCTATAATATAGATTAGTATATAAATATATTTTTTTGTAATATAACAAATGTCTTTTATATAGATGAATTGAACTGCACAAGTAATTTAAAAGATATAATGTTATATTCATTTATTCAAAATATAATTAATATTTTATCGGCAGATAAATGTTTGCGCCCTGTAGGGATTAATTTGAATCCAATCCTTTGATAATCCAAAAAAACGGATCTGATACAGGGCTAAAAATATAACATATGATGTCGTAATTAGATATGAAATTCATAGGATTTCGGAATATATTCATTTTTAATCATGTGATTTTTTTTAGTTTTAAAAATCTGATTTTAGGAAACGTATTCCAGCATGATGGTACACCTAAAATATTATTTTTTTATTAAAGTTAATTTAAATAAGTAACGGGAGATAGTTACTAATTACATTCTAAATAAAGGTAAACTTAAATTTCATAACGATTGCCATGAACTTAAATAAAATAAAATCTCTAATTTTATTAAAAAAATTATCTAAAATTCATAGGAGAGAGAACTGTACATATGCTAAAATAGGTTTCATGTAAAATTTGATATTTTTTAAGTCTAAAAAATTGCCTTCCATTAGTGATAAAATTTGAAAGATTTCTAATCACTATGGATTTCATATTTTCTCACGACAACAGTATTTACATTAAAAGGGACCGCAAAGACATGTTTTTTAGGCCTATGGGACTCATTATTAACTAGTATTTATAAATTAATTTCATAGTGATGATTGATATAAATTACCATTTAAGAATATGAGTGGAGACCGGGGTTATATTGTCCCCGATAATTTAAACTGCTATAAATAATGAATAAAGTAAACTTTCTAAAATGTTTCAAACTGCTTTTATTCATTACGTATACTTTTGCGATGAATGTTATAATGCATTCTTAAAACTGTCATCTAATTAGCAAAAAAAAAGTTAATCCATATTAACAAGTGTGAGACCCTAGATACACTCGTTGGCTTCTGATTTTTTCTAAAGATATAGTTTGATTTTTTAAATTCAAAATAAATCCCTGCATAAAAAAACCAAAACGCACCCCGCCAAAACCTCAAGATATTAAATTACAATAAATAGTGTTAATATTTTTATACATGATAAAAATTCAGATTATTATATCATTAAAAATGATATTTAATGTTAAATAACTTTTGCAAAAAAAAAATACGTTTTTAAATTTAAATTTTGCATTTAAAACTTTTTTCATAAGCGTGTCTTTCAGAGTAACATTTTAAAACCATGGTAATATATTTAAATATCTAAGTTTATTAATTTTAAAATTATTTGAGAAGAAATTTAGTTGCCGCCTGGATAATACTATTCACTGTCTCATTTTTAAATACAATTTAATCTTAAAACTAACACGGTTTAAATTTTTTTTTATATTATTAGATTCAAATAGACTTTATGGAATCCTATGTAGAGAAAGTAAAATATATACTTTATAGATATTACAATTTTATATGATGAATATCATAAAAGATAATAAGCGATCAACAAATTTTGATGTATATTATACATATTTATGTTGATTCAAATTATTATTATTTTTTAACAACTACGAATTATTAAAGATTATTTCATTAAATTTATCATTTCGTTTAGCATATAAATTTAAAATATATAACTCATTTCCTAATATAAGGAACAAGAACGAATGCGAAACATAATTATTGATTTAAATTATAAATTATAGATATAATTATATTTTAAGTAATTTATTTCAAATTTCTGGTTCTTCAATTTGATTTCAATGCGCAAGGAATGATTTTTATTTATGATCTAATATGAATTTTTTTTTTAATGTACCTTAATATTTTAAAATAATTCATTTTTAAATATTTTTTTGTCAAAATTCTAATATAAAAGAGAGAGAAGAGATAAATAACTAAATGTTAAATATTTGATTCCCAGTCTTTTATAATCGCATTTTATTTAGAAAAATTTTGTTGTTATTTACCTTAATTCTTTCAATTGTTTTAAACAATTTGTTTAACTAATACGATATTAAATTTGATATCTTCAAATAGTGTTTTTAAATGTAAACTATATATAAAATAGTAAAAATTAATTAGAAGTCCATGATAAATTCCTAAATCCCATGATAGGTAATCAATATTTGTGAGTAGTTTAATACTCCGACAAAATCTGAAACTTTTAAAATAACGATCTACGATAAAAATATAAAATTTCCATATAAAATATAAAGAAGAGTGTAAATTTTAAAAATATCGATGGCTCTAAAAAGAGCTTATAGTAAAAATGTACCTAAAAAACATGTATAATTATGTTAAAAAATTTTTTAATTGTATTTTTTGTTTTAGGAAGATTGACTCGCGTTTTTCGTTTGTTATGTTAAAAATTTTACGTGCTAAAATTTTTAAAAATGAATGCTGATTGGGAGAAATTACCATTAGTTGAGATGACTATGGGTTGAAAAATAAAATTATTTAATATTGAGTATTTATTGATTTATTTTCGCCATTAGTAAGAGGATTTGAATTAATTGATGAGGGAAAGGAAGAGACACAGGTAGCGTCCCAAATTAGGGATTTCCCATTTGACCATGGGATGCAGGTTAAACCGTCAGGTCTGAGACCATCTTGTAGAGAGAGGTTTGTTGGTTCTAGAATGTTAGGAATTTTAGCTTTATTGAGTGCGTTATGGATGATTTTATTTATTGCTTTATGCCGGAGGTGGCGACCTTGGCTACGGGAGCAGTTTAGACCGTGTCTTGCATTTGGTTGTACGGGTAGGTTGCAAAGGTGGCAAGTGTGTGAATATGTTAGCGAGCATCCTAGTCTAAATCCTATGGTAACTCTCAGTTGATCATTGGTTAAGAGATTATCAAGGGTTAGGCTAGGAAGTGCCTCGAGCCATTCATATCTGGCATATTTATCATTTAATTGAAGAAGTTGAATATCGCTGATATCGGAGGGGTTAAAACTAGTTTGAAATTTCTTTATAAGGGGTTCCAAGATTGATTTATTAGAAATTTCGGTTGGGAATGTTTGACCGTCTGGAGTTAGTAGATTCCATTTTTCGATTGCTACTGTTAAGAGATCGTCATTGGGGGTTATAAAAGATGAGATCGCGGAATTGAGCGAAAGGCGATTAGAGATAAATAGAGATAGGGAGAGTAATTCTAAGGGGATCAGGTCGATACCGCCTAGTTTAGCGGGTAATTGAGCAAGGTGCCAATTAAAGTCTGATAATGGAAGATAAAGGATCCTTTCCATTAAGGTCTTTAAGCGAATATTATGCTTGGTGAAAAATTCTGAGGAGGTGAATGAGGAGGATGAGTGGAAGAGGTGTGAGATTTTAGGTAAATATAGGCACTTTTTTAATAGATAAAAAAGTTGGTGCGATGGGATATGATTGATAAACTTTTCCAAGTTTTGCAACTTGAAGAAGGTTTTATCGATTGTTTTTTCCGAGATTTTATTATTTAGTAGTGGGGAGCCCAAGAGTTGGACATCTTCGATTTCGATAATATTGTTATCTTTAAATGAGCCTAGGGGAATCTCGAGGTTGAGTATGCAGATTTCTGTTTTGGTTTTGTTTAATTCTAGGCCTATTTTGGGGCATTCTCTTTCGAGGTGGAAGAGGGCTTTGCTTATTTGATGTTGGTTACCGCAGAGAGTGCCATCGTCTAGGTACCATAAATTAAGGTCTAGATCAAAATCAGATTTGAGATCTTTCATCATATTATGGATGGCTAAGCAGAAAAGTATAGGGCCTAGGGGGTCGCCCTGCTGAACACCCTCTTCTGAGTATATAACGCAACCATTGAAAATGAGGGGAGTGCTATTGGTATAGCAAATGTCAACAATGCGCGAGTATTGGGGGAAATTATCGTAAAACGATTCGAGAGCCGAGGAACGAGATACTGTATTGAAGGCGTTTTTGAAATCAATTTTGCAAAGAACGGAGTTTAAAGGTGGATGTTGTAGGTAGATTCGGAGACAGTGAGAGGCTATATCTACGCCTCCTTTTGTTCCGCAGCCTAATTGGTAATTGCCAAGCAGGGAATGAGTAACGGTTTTTATTTTTTTTGCGATGATTTTAGTAATCAGGCGTCTGAAGAAAGAACCGATAGCTATTGGGCGGATACCACCTTTCGGCTTTTCAAATGCAATCAAGTTAGCTCCAAATATTATTTGATGAACTAATGTGGGGATATCTCTAGTGATTATATTATTGAGGAAGGATGTAAGTGAGTTAAAAAAACTATTTGAATTGGGAGATTAATGTTTGGAAGTAGGAAGGTCTATAGCCGTCAGGACCTGCTGCTGAAAATTTATATTCGTTTATAGTGTCACGTATATCTTGGTTTGATATTGTGAGAGGAGGAATATTGGGCGGAGGAATTGGTAAACTAGTATAAGAAGCACGTGGATGGAGAGATTTTAGGTTTTCAAGAGTCGCATCATTAGATGGGGCTAGTTTTGATTGTGAGGAGATTAATTTTTGTGCTCCGCAGACGTCGCCTTCATTTATTTTGGAAATTTTGTCACAGGTTTTAATGAAACTTTCATTGGAATTATTGGGATAATTGATGTGTTCAAGAGGTGTTAAGTAATCTATATTTTTAAGTCTGTCTTTTATAATGTTAGGTAGTGAAATAGATTTTTTATCTTTTGGGATTGAGAGACATTTAAAAGGGAAAGTGAAAAGATTATTCCAATGATTTGTGTTTGACAAATCTGAGTTCATATTATCAAATAATTTGGTGAGATGGTCTGTGATAAGGTAGCTAACACTGGTTGGGATGTGCTTAATTGTTGGTGATTTATTAATAAAGATAAATTCTTCTAGTGATTTGTTATTTACTTGTATGTGTTTGGTATTTATTGGGGGTTCTATAAGTTTTGTGCAAAGTGTGTTAGAGCCTGAGCAAGGAAGGGTTGTAGGGCCATGTTTGTAAAGATGGTCATCCTTTTTTATATTTATTAGTTTATGGCAAGTTGGACAGATTCCTTTCATGGTAATGATGATGTGAAGGATTGATATTTAAGGTATTTTATTTAAGTCAGAAACAGAATTTTGCCTTAATATATGTAGCCTTTTCTTTAAAGTCATAATTTTATAACTCCTTATTATAATTTGAGAGTCTTATTATTGCCAAGTTTTGGTTTATGAATCTGATTTGATACTTCTGAGTTTTTGAATTTTGGATAATTATTTTGTACTCAGATATTAAATATTTGAATGTTTATTAATCAGATTTATCAAATTAGTTTTTGAGGTTTTTTTTAATTGAGTGATATATAATTCAATTGCTTATTAGTATAAAGGCCGTTAAGAGCTGTAAGGATTTTGATAAAGTTGTATTTCATAGGGTAAAAAGAATATATAATTTTGGAAGATATAAGAATAATATTGCTGCTAAAAATACTGTGTTAAAATGATGATGTAAAATAACTAATTCCTGAATCTTTTTGATGAATATAAATTTTGGAAGATATTAGAATAATATTGCTGCTAAAACTACTGCTAATGAAGTTATTATTAATTCCTGCTATAGACTCATTATGATTATCCTTAAAATAACAGCGAATCAATCGGAAACCTATTGGAGACTTTCTTTCCTTCATTCTTTCTTTTTCCTCTGCTATTTTTTCCCTTTACATATTAGGTGTCTTTTAATCATAATTATTCCATCTTCGTATAAAACTTTTAAAAATATCTTTATTAAATATTACATTATGGAAATTTTATATCAACATAATACATATAACCTGAATAATCCACGTATATTATGTGAGGTTAAAGAAAATTTAATATTATTAGGCTTACCAACCCTCGTATAACCATAAAAGTTTCCTTTATCATACTTTAGTAGTAATATGCAAAACCCGATGTTTTTATGGGAATTAATCCTAGAACTATAAAAATATTCTATTAAGTTGAAAACGTCTCCTAATTAAGATTAGAACATAATAGTCATGTAAACCTCAAGATATGGCAATTAGATAACCAAACCTTTCTACCATCAATGAATAAAATGGCCTAATAATATTTTGGTTATGATCTTAATCAGGCCTTTAAAAAATCAACACGAATAGGGGCTTTTTACCAGCAATTATATAAAGGCTATTTTCTCTATTTGATATATTTTATTCTTTTATCTTTTTTTTCTAAAATAAATATAAAATATTTCCATTTTAGTAACGCAGTCTTCTACTTACTACAGCTGCATAAATCGTAATCATTTTTAATTTATACAATTTTGAACTTGAAAATTCGTGATTAAAAATATTCTAATTTGTAACAAAATTTAAATATTATTGGTTTGATTATAGCAAAAAAACATAAAAAACGAGAATAAAATACGAAAAAGTTGTTTCATAAAAATTACATTCATTTCCATTATTTTAAAAAAAAAAATTTTTTCTAGTAATAATGAATTAGTAGTACCCTTATTT